CAGGAATGAATGAATGGCTGGACGCAGCCTCTTGATTTATACTTCTGTGTTGCATTGGTCTGCCTTGTATCCCTGGCCCATGATGCACACAGTTCCCCCCCGTGGTACTTGCTGGACCGGACTGGTACTTTCTAGACTTTCCCATGACTGCATAGTGACAACCCTACGACGCAGTGCAGTTGCACTGGGGTCCTACTATTTGCCCTTGCCACTTGTCCTCGTCTCCAACATGGGCTTGCTTTAGTCACACCACTTGACCACTTGCCAACCTTCTAGAAGGACTGCAGCTGGACTTCTACTCTACAGGTCTATGGATCAAATCCTGGCTACCTAAAGACCTACGACAGACCTACTTACCACTGGCGGTTCTACAGGTCGCAGGTTCAATTCTTGTCACAGATATTGTACACAGGTAAGTTGGGGAACTAGGGATCGAACCCTGGGTCCTACATCAGCTACTTCAAACTGGTGAATACCGTTTCAAGAGAGGAGATATGCACAGCGGAAGCTCAAAAAAAATACACAGAGAATTGAAAAACGAATTTCAATTCTGCAATCCCTCATCCTCCTCCAGTCAATCCAGAATACTTGTTCCAAGAATCCCAACCACGTTGTCAACACCCATGGATCAATTATTTACAAGATTTCATCGAATACTTTGGGAGTCTTCTTCTTCCCTCTTCCTCAAGCTCTAGCTATGGTGCCTGCGGGCACCCAACCTATCAAGCCTGCCAATCCCCACACACCCTCCTAAATCCAACACCCCTGTGCACCACTCAAGAAGCCCACTGCAGATGAAGTGTCCACTCAGCAGGGGAGCGCAGCTCCCAGGATGATGAAGAAGAACAGCAAATCGATGAAGATGAAGATCTGCCACTTCGAAGCAGGCATAGAGAAGCTGCTTCGGTGGCAGCTGTCGAAACCCCAATAGGACAGCTATGGAGGAAGCACCACGCAGAGCAGGGCCTGATGTCCCTGGGCCAATTCCGCACCAGCCAGGTAAGCCCAGTTATGGCCGTCAGCTTCCCTTCAACGAGGAAGATGAACGAGCACTTTGAATTAGCGCAGCTCCAGCCGCGACCTCCAGCAGCACTTCGTGAAAAAAAATTGACGAAGCAGAACCCCAAATTCGTCGGCCCCTGCCTACTTCTACCCGACTTCCTTAGACCTACAACACAGTAACCACCTACAGACCTATCTGACCGTCCAAACAGAAAACATCTACGGCCCAACAGTCAAGATCTACCTACATGCATCTAGATGGAATCCTAGACTAAGGGAACCCAAGGCTAGGACACACAAAGAAATACCTAGGGGCCTACCAGTTTCCAGAAGGGCAGAAAAGGACAAAACAACAAGGCTGAGTGGCCTAAGACTACGAAGTAGAGACTACTAGCGACAGGTTCAAGGTTCAAGCCCAATAAACCTCAAAAACAGTCACACACCACAAACACACTACAAGTCACGGGTTCAAGTCCTCCAACGCCCAAAACAAGGAACCAACAAACACAGTTAGTGTACACACAGACAAACACACACACACACACAATACCAGTCACGGGATCGAATCCCGGAATGCACAAAACAGGCAGCAACAAAATTAGTGTACAGCCCGCATCTCACTGCAATTCATTGCACCTTTCTCCTCCTCATCTTCTTCTTCTTCTTCTTCTTCTTCTTCTTCTTCTTCTTCTTCTTCTTCTTCTTCTTCTTCTTCTTCTTTCAGTTCGTCGACATTCGGTTGGTCACGTGATACACGACAGGTTAAAAAAAAAAAAAAAAAAAGGCCGTCCTTCTCCCCCTCCTTCTTCGCTTTTCTTCTTCTCCTCCTCCTCCTCGTCTCGTCGTTCTCTCGTCTTCTTCTTCTTACCCTCCTCACCCTCTTCTTCTTCTTCTTCTTCTTCTTTTCCATTCGTTAGGTCTTCTTCTCTCCTCTTCTTCCTTCCCTACTCCCTCCCTCCCTTTCTCCATCCTCCCATCCATCCATCCCTTCGATAAGTTCATAGCATGCATGCAGCAGACATCAGAGCAAAGATGCAGAGAACCCAACCCAGTAGGCAACATACATGCAGGGCCCCCAATCCCCAGACACCCTCCCAACCCCAGCACCCCCCACCCAGTCCAACCCCCCCCCCCCACCCCCCAGAACTAAAATTTTATTGCAGATTCGGGGTCCTCTCGCCCAGCGCAGAACGACCCCGTTTTCCAAAAAAAAATAAAACATTCTGGGCGTTTTTTTTGCCCGCCCGGTTTACCCGGGCGGCATCCTCACTCAGATTTATTTTGAAATGGAGACCTTTTTTCCATGAGGTAAAAGTTCCGTAAAACTGTAAAAATTAAAAAGTATCGCTTTACAAACTTTTTGTGGGGGTATTGTGGCAGCTTCTCTGTGTTCTTCTCAAAAAAAAACTTTTGTTTGGTTTGTTTCCCATCACTTCATGCTGCTAATTTGCACAATGCTGAAGGTCAACTGACATGCACAGACAGATCAAACTCTTGGCCCTGTGCAGGCCAGCATTGAATGCAGGGTATGTCGCTTCATGGATGAATCATGCACATGGACCATGTACACTTGTAAGTACCGAGATCTCCCACTTGTCTATCTGTCTGGCCGTCTGTGTGTGCATGCATGTGTGTGAATATGCATGTTTGCCTGTCTGCCATCCACAGCTCCTCCAGAATGACTGGTTATACCGCTTAAAGGTGGGGTAGACCGTCCATCCGGTACAAGCACCTACTTCCACCAAAGCACATCCCTCTGTGTGTGTGCATATGCATCTCTCTATCTGACCTTCCCTCTGTGTCTCTGGCTGTCCCTCTGTGTGTGTGTGTGTGTGTGTGTGTGTGTGTGTGTGTGTGTGTGTGTGTGTGTGTGTGTGTGTGTGTGTGTGTTGTGGATTTTCACCACAACAGCCCGTAATCCACCCAGATGACGAGATCCAAAATCGAAGCAGCTTTAGTACTATTGCTGACAACGAAGGACACTTGAGTGGAGACATGCCAACAATCAAATAGTTTTACGTCTATAGCAAGTAACATGGAGCACAAACAAATCTGTCGAAAACTTGAATCCCTTTGTCAATTATGTTTGCTTTTGCTTTCTTTGGGGTGTGTGTGTGTGTGTGAGAGAGAGAGTGTGTAGTGTGTAGTGTGTGTGTATGTGTGTATGTGTGTGTGTATATGTGTGCATGTGTGTATGTGTGGTGTAGATTTTCACCATGACAGCCCTTGTCCCACCCAGATGAGTAGATCCAAAATCAAAGCAGCTTATACCTCTATTGCAGACAATGAAGCACACTTGAGATGAGCCAATCCAACAATGAAACAGGCTTTCCTCTATAGCAAGCAACATGGAGCAGAATAGATCAATTAATATCCCTTTCGCAGCTCCCTTTTTACTGTGCCTCTCACGTACAAGGCTGGTTACATTGACTGTGGTTTAGCGCCAGCTGCCCACATCCGCGTGTGCCATCACTTGCACGTTATGATAGGAGGCAGTGTAAAGGACGAGGTATACTCCTGTTCATTTTTCTTCAGATCTTCAGTTCATATTCTGTCGGTTTTCTTAACGATGCTCATTCATATGCATTTACTTGTAGATCACAAGATGAGTACACAAGAGGAGGGAGGAAGGGAAGGGGTAGGGGGTGGAGTTCTATTGGAAGCAATTGGCGGGGGAGGGAGAAGGGGTAGAGGAGGGACGTGTAGGGGCAAAGGACAGAACATAGGAAATACAATTTTCACAGGGTTCTGAACACTCGCCACTGGAGCAGACTATCCTAGATGGCACAAGAAGCCGGTCAGTGCTCAGGTTGCATGTGTGTGTGTGTGTGTGTGTGTGTGTGTGTGTGTGTGTGTGTGTGTGTGGGTGCGTGTGTGTGTGTGTGTGTGTGTGTGTGTGTGTGTGTGTGTGCCTGTTAGTAACCCTCTCTCCCCAGCTGCCTCACTCCTTCCATGTTAGATGAGTCAGATCTGGGGCACACTTCTGATCATTCTCAGTGCCCATTCGCTAATATCCAAGAATATCTCCCAAGAGCAAGAATCTAGAATTGCAAACGAGTGGAAGGAATGCAATGCACTGACAAAGCACATCAGGAAGTGTGAGTTCAACACCCACGTAAAATGAGGGACTCGATAACATGATGTGTTTCACAGCGCGTCTGAGGCCGACATCATCTCAAGAATCTACATGAACATACACCACAGACGTGCAGGACATCACCGTACTCCTGATCAACATGCGGCAGGATTCCAAGAGTGAACAGTCATCCAAGAGAAACGGAAGGGCAGAGGACCAAGCATAGAATATTCTCTCCCCTTCCCATGGACAAAGTTCAAGCTGCAGTCGCCTAAGTTCACTGCTTTTGGGCTTTTGTTGTGGACAATGGTGCAGGTTCAATGTACGTCAGAGCCAGTTCCAAGAAAGTACCATTTCTGTGATCCAGAGGCTGGAGGTAAGCCCTTTTTTTTCCCCCATTTATTTTTTCAATCGGCCAAGTGTGGAAGGTGGAGGTAAGCTTCCTACTTACTTGCTCTAGGCCAGAGGCAGCAGTAGTCATCTCCTTTCTTTTCCTTCGAACCTGGCCTACATGCATTGTTATGTACATGCCTTTTGGTTCAGTGCTACGTACCTCTGACTGGTGATTATTATTGGATAATAATGAGCTCAAGTCATGGGTGCCATCCAGACATTGGGACCGGGGTTCAGGCAGTCTGTGACCTTGGTGTGTACCATGCGGTTCCAAGATGTATCATTGTCGATTTCCAGAAGTTTTGGGCATCCCAAGTGCTTGCTGTACTCTCTTCTTTTTCTTTTTTTTGGGGTTTTTATTACTTTTTAAATATTTTCTTTCTCGGTTTTCCAGACTTTTAAACTCACTTTTTCTATTCTTTTCTTTTTTTTCTATTTTTTAATTTTTTTTCCTATTTTTTTTTCTTTCTCTAAAAAATTGGACCATTTCGTAGGCGACCAGCGGGGCCACCCGGGTCACCCTGTTTTCCCGGGCGGCAAAAAAAAAAAAAAACAATTCCAAAAAACCCGAAAACAAACTATTGTTAGTTGTTGTAGTTCTGAAAGGTCAAGGTCGTAGCTGCTACAGTTCTGAAAGGTCAAGGTCGTAGCTGCTACAGTCCTGAAAGGCCAAGTCCGCAAACTTCCGGAAGGTCCAGAAGTGGCCTTTCAAGTTTCTTCTCACGTTATACACATCAGACCAGAGGCCCATGGGCCCGGTGGAAAAGGGCAGACCAACGACTTACAGAAGCATAAATCAAGAGGCAGCGTCCAGCCATTCATTCATTCTGCTGTGCGCCATGCGGAAGCGCTGCCCGAGCGTCTTGTGCGAGGTGGTCTGCAGATGCCCGAGGTCGAAGAAACAGTATAAGGTCAGGTTCGTTTTTCAGGAACCAGAGGACGACCGCTGGTTTACACGAACAGAACTGCTTGATACCGCTCCTGATGTAGTTTGCACCTATGAGAGAGAGAAGAAAGATGAAAGGTCCAGCCTTGGACTGAAGTATTCTCGGAGGACCTCAAACTTAGGCCGGCGGGAGTGAAACAGTTTTCACCTTTTTGCAGTCACAGATGCGGATCCCAGGGCTCGATCCCCAGACCTTACCTTACCCTACCTGTGTACAGTATCAAGTCGACCCTGAGTGTCTTGAACCGGTGACCTGTGTGTTAGTAGTTGAAAGTTGTCTGTCGTAGGTTTGAGTAGTTGTCGGGTCTTGAACCTTAGACCTGTCGAAGTAGGGGTCATACCTGCATAGGGGTCATAGTTGTTGTAGTTCTGAAAGGTCAAGGTCGTAGCTGCTACAGTCCTGAAGTCATAGCTGCTACAGTCCTGACAGGTCAAGGTCATAGCTGCTACAGTCCTGAAAGGCCAAGTCTGCAAACGTCCGGAATGTGGCCTTTCAATTTTCTTCTCACGTTATACACAGCAGACCAGAGGCAAGTGGGCAAGAGGTGAGTCCAACTTCGCTTAGTCAGCGGTACCCAGTCCCAGTCTCACTTTGTACAGTCAGCAAGTACCATGAGGGACTGTGTGCACCATGGGCCTGGTGGAAAAGGGCAGACCAACGACTTACAGAAGTATAAATCAAGAGGCAGCGTCCAGCCATTCATTCATTCCTCTGTGCGCCATGCAGAATCGCTGCCCGAGCGTCTTGTGCGAGGTGGTCTGCAGATGCCCGAGGTCGAAGTAGGCTTGAAGAAGTTAGTGCGCCATAGTTAGTAGTAGCTGGCGGCCATAGCCGCCTTAGCTACTGTTAGGTGTTAGTGTGTGTGTACGTGTGTGTGACACAGTGAACGCGTGTGGGGTATTCAGGGTGATCCAGAGTTGAGTGTGTGCGAACAGTGGTGATGGACACAGTGACGAGAGTTGGGATGTACAGGCGCTGATGCACCATAGCCTGTTGAAGCAAGTTTGCATCTGAACTGTGTTCTCGGTTTCCATATCTCTGAGCTTTGAGTGGGCGCTTGGCGTGCTTTGCCATCTGTTGCATGCATGAAGTTGAAGAAGAAAGCGGGGCTGATTGCAGGTCTATCCTCATCTTCCAAAATCCCTTGAAGGTCAAAGTAATTTCGTGTAGAATTAAGACACCATCCTACTTGGTGCCAACTAGCAGATCATAGCAGTGTCACTCATCGATATTAAACTACTATCGAACCGTGCTCAGTTGCCTCAGGGCCACATCGAAATTCTTTACCGGATTGAAATTCAAATTTTAAATTAAAAATTAAATTTTACTGAGTGAGGACGCCGCCCGGCCGGGCGTGCCCTGCCGGTTGGGCCCCGGGGGGGCCGCCCGGGTAAACCGGGCG